ATTTGTCTTTTATCCCTATATGCACCTCTCTGGAGGCACAGATGCTCAACTGCCTCTCTCTACATCTCCCCTTCATCTAAACTGATTGCCAATGGCCCTGAGCCCTGCAACTCAAGCCCTCTGCCATCACAACCTCTCCCAACTGTTCTGCATCAGATGTCGTCTCTTCCTTGTGGTGCTGCTTTGTCACCAGCTAGGGGCCCAGGAGACTTGACCTCTCCCGGGCTCCCCTGGGCTTGTGGGGAGGTGCCAGATGGAGGTACTCAAGACAACCCTCTCATTGAGACACTGAAAAGTCCTGATGCTAAAAATAAAACAAAAGGCCAAGAAAATGGCAACCTGAAGTCTTAGGCTTGACAGTCCCTCTCCTTTGTATCTGCAGTGCAAAGAAGTGGTCTGCGTGCACGATATAGCCATGGAAATGATCAGGGACACTCTGGTCCCACCCAAAATTCATGGAGGAAGCTTTATTAAACTCAGTGGCACTTATTTCCAAGCAAACATGGACACTGTCATCCCCTTTATCTCTTCAGTTTAAATCAGTTTAAAATGGCAAGGCTTTTAGTACATTTTTAAAGGAGTTGCAAATATGTACTAGCTATAAAGATCCATCTGTTGTTTCCAGACCAGTGGGTTCCATAACAGAATATATAAGAGTGAATCAGAAAGCTTTTGTGCCAACTTTTTTATTCCACAAAATACAAATAGGATCAATTGGGCTGAATAAGTGCAATGCCGGTATGGGAAAGTAACATATAATTATATATAATAACTATGTGCTTCCATTTATATTTTGGATGTTGTTGTTGTTGTTATTGTTATTATTATCATTGTCAGTATTGTTACTGTATTGAGGTAGATAGTATTGTACTATACAGTATTGCAGAGGTATTGTAGAGGTAAATGTAGTAATACTTATTTATGCAGCTATTTAATATCCTTTCAACATGAGCTCCTTTCCACAGAATAAAAGCTAGAGTACACAAAACCTTTAAAAAATTTGTAAAGGGCATCCATAAGTCAGAATTGACTTGGCACCATACAGTCATTATTAGATTTGTGCCCCCAAAGTCAAGATGACACATAATTTGCTGAATATATATAACCAATGGAACCCAAATATCTGCAACAAGATGTATTTACAAAAATTGGTCAGAGTATAGAGGGTCTATGATTCCAGCAAGGGTGACACCACACTCCCAATAACAAATAATTTGCTGAATATATGCTACAAAAAGGTCAACATTAGGAGCAGCATATGTACCGGGTTGATATTTAACAGATACTTACGTTTTTGGCTAAAACTTGTATCTGTTATATATCAGTCAATGTTTTATTATTTTGATTGATTCTGCCTGGTGATTTTGAATACTACTACTACTACTACTACTACTACTACTACTACTACTACTACTACTACTACTACTACTACTACAGCTGGAGGCTGAACAGCTACTTGACTCGTGTGCAGAGTATATGTGAGGGCTGGACAATCTCCAGAGGTCTGTGGGCAGGACATGCCCCCTTCTGAACCTTAGAGGGTTACACCCACTCCAGCATACGCCCCACCTTTAACCTCTAGTGGCCATAAAGAGCCATTTTGTCATTTTTGGTTGCCTCTGAGATGTCCTGAGTTTGGCTGGAGTGCGACTGAAACAGCTGAAGGAAGCCCCAAATGCTGTGATATTTCACTTGTGGCCATTACAATGGGCAAGGGACCTTTCTGGACACATTGTTATTTTGGTGGTAGTGGTTACGTTTGTGCTTAATAATAATGCAATATTAAATGGTCTTTTGAACCTGGATTAAGCAGTATCTTTCAGCCACAACATTATCCCTTTTGAACCAGACACGTGCTGATATAGTTCCAGGGATTTTCCATCTGCTGCTCATCTTTAATTTTCTCACCACTAATAGGAATGCAGTCAGTTCCTTGTGATGGAACTGATATCCTTCAAATAACTGTTGAAGATGTGAAGAACATAACAGATCAAGACTCATGATAAACAACAGGTTCATAATTTTCTTACCTTCACTTTTGGAATCTGTTCTTCTTGATGTATTTGAAATAATCTTATTTGCATTCCTTGTGATGTATCACTTATTTACTGTTTAGGCATATATTTATTTATTTATTTAATCTTATTTATATACTGCTCCAATAGTGCAGGCACTATCGGGCTGGTTTACAAGTTAAAAGTTAAGCCCCCACAAATCCCACATAAGATATTCAACAATATGGCAATCTAACAATGTAGGTCTGAAATTCATACAAAAAAGAAGAAATAACATCAACATTAACAAAATTAATTAGCAGAAGGCAGTTTTTAAATAATTCTGTTTTCATAAATTTCCTGAACCTAAGGAGGGAAGGAGCCTGGTGCATCTCAGATTGTAATTTATTTCAAAGACTGGGGGCCACCACCAGAAAGGCCTTATTCCGTGTCGTTGCCTTTTTGGCCTTCATTAGTGTGGCCACTTTTAGCAATGTGGACTGAGTGGAGCGGTTGAAATGGGTACTAACCTGACTCCATTGGTCTTTCATCATATTGGTTTTAACATGCTGAAATTTCTTGTATCCTATAAATGTGGTACGGATGGAAAATGCCATACCAGACTAGCTAGCTTATCAACTGGGATTTAATAACAATAATAACAATACTCTTAGAACTGCAGAGCTGGAAGGGACCCTATGAATGATTGAGGCATAGTGGGGGAATTGAACTCAAAGCCTCTGGCTCTGCAATCAGATGTCAAAACCATTGAGTTCAGAATTTAAATATAGCACCTTTCTTCCAAGTAATCATCAACAAATACTCAAGGTACTTCACATATCTCATCTCTATAACCTTTGGAATAGCCCTCAATGGTAGGCCGTTGGAGTCAAAAATGTCAGGTGGCATTTAACAACCTGGGGCTTTTTTACGCCAAGATGCACTATTCACTTTCCCCCTACTATCTTGTACAGTAAGACGCAACACTGCTGGGGCACACAGAAAGGCTGTGCTTACCCCCAAATGCAAGGAAGGAGAGAAAGAGAAGTACATACCATACACGTAATAAATCAGCCTAATATTTACTGAGAAGACAAATCAGCCATGTATACAACTTCAGAGATCTGTTCAGAACACCAAAGTATCAAGGAATAATGCAGGGTTACACCCTTAAGGTACAAACCTACTTCCAATTTCATAAGTACTGTAATGCCTCCTCCCCACAAACACTATAGGCTACTGAACTTCTATCCTTTTTGCCACTGTAAAACTCCCTGAAGCTCAGAGTAGACAAAGCTACTTACTTCATTTTGTTTACATGTTTGTGTTGAAAATTGCTCCCACCTTTTGTAGAACTTGACACCTGTTGCAAACATGTTCAAACTGTTTAAGATTTGTGCCTACCACAAAATCATAAGGACCATCAGAGCCAATTATAGTGTGAAAAATCATAGAATCATAGAATCGTGAAGTTGGAAGGGGCCTATAAGGCCAGCAAGTTCAACCCCTTGCTCAATGCAGGAATACAAATCAAAGCAGATCTGCCAGGTGGTTTTGTAAATTTCTCTTGAATACCTTCAGTGTTGGAACACTCACCAGCTCCAGAGGTAACTGGTTCCACTGTCGTACTGCTCTAACAGTTAGGAAGTCTTTCCTGATATTCAACCGAAATCTGGTTTCCTTTAACTTGAGTCCATAGTTGCATGTCCTGCACTCTGGGACGACTGGGAACAGATCTCGCCCCTCCTCTGTATGACAATATTTCAAATATTTGAAAAGTGTCATAGTATCTCCATTCAGTCTTCTTTTCTCAAGGCTAAACATGCCCGATTCTTTCAATCTTTCCTCATAGGGCTTGATTTCCAGTCCCCTGGCCATCCTTGTTACCTTCCTCTGAATTTGTTACAGTTTGTCAGCATCTTTCTTGAACTGTTGTGTCCAGGACTGGTCACAGTACTCTCCGTGAGGCCTAACCAGTGCTGAATAGAGGGGAACTAGTACCTTGTGAGATCTGGAGACTACACTTCGGTTAATGTAGCCTAAAATAGCTTTTTTTTTTTTTTTGGTAGCCACATCACACTGTTGGCTCATGTCCAGCTCATGATCTACAACAATTCCAAGATCCTTTTCTCTTGTAGTATTGCTGAGTTAAGTATCCCCCATCTTGTAAGAAGAGGAACAATGGGGGGGGGGGCAGAAAACTTAAAGGATAAAAAAGTCCAAATGGCATGGAAATAACGAAAGTGCTGAAGAAGGAGAGGGCTTCCCTGTACTGATTTGTTTGGCTCTGCTTAAATGCAAGAACATGCAGCAGAGCTCTATTGAAAACCACTGCAATTTAGAATGATTAGTCAGCAAGGCATTTTTTGTCTGTGCGAGACATGGTGGTCTGATGGGATACGAGGATTCAGAGAATCTTGGGAACCTGTCACTTCTTGATGGAAAAGTTGCCAGGAGCCGCTAAGAAGTGGGAATAACAATAACATCAGTTTAAAGCCTTTTGCAGGAACATGTGCACACTTTAAAAATAATTGCAACCTGCATGTACTTGTAGAGAGGGTGATATGCACTCTTGGGACAATGGAAGAAAGAAAGAGAGATCACACAGACACGGAGCTTGCATTTTGAACTGTTTGTCTGTTTCCTTGTGATCATACAATTATGCAGGGAACAGCACTCCAACCTGTCCCTGATTCATGGCCAAGCTGGACCTTTTTTGTCTAGCAGCAGGACCACTACATTTGGGGGCCAGGGTGGAGTGATTCCTCAATGGGCAGAAGGGTTACTGTAAAGGGTATTGCTCCCAGTAAAGCAATCTGCTCTAGTGGGATTAGATGTACTCACGATCTGATTGCACCCAGAGAGAGAGGAAAACTCAGCTTATCCATCTGTCTTACACGAATTTCAGCTTCCCTGTTTCACTCTCATTCTAAGACAGGCCCTTGAACTACTTTTACTAAAACAAGTTTGTCCATGAGAAAGGTAGTCAATAACCAGACAGATATTTCAATATCTGAGCAAACTCGAAGCTCTGAAGTAGTTAAGGATCTTATAGCTGTGGTCCATCAGAAAACACCCTATGTTCTGAGCCATTGTTGACCTTGCAATGAACGCACGCCAAATGACCACAAGAAGGAAAGCATTGACTGCATACTGAATGTTCCTCAGCCTGTTGGAAAAAAGAGAATGACACAATTCAGGTGGGTGGCAAATGATGTGCAAAACAGATCAACAACATTCTTTAGTGGCAGGAAGGAAGCAGTTCCACTTCTTGTTACATGCTTGATTCTTGTGTGTGGTTGGTGTGGTTGTCACTTCCTGGTGGCTACTGCCTGTGCTAGTCATATAAAAGAGTGGGATGGCCAGACTGACATGGGAAATGGCGTACCAAAATTATGGTGCTCTTTCCATTGGTTTCTGAACCTTAAGGTGGGGAAGAAGGAATCACAAGGGAGAGGTAACCACATACTTTCCATTATTTAAGACTCTTATTGTTGCAGCTGAACTTGCTCAGAGATGGGACAGCCCATGGATCAATGCAGCCTCTTGGCCAGTTTTTTCTTCCAATAAGCATCCCAAACACTGCTGTGCTGCCACTGAATAGGGTGGTAAACAGGGCTGACATGCATGATGTTTTCACTTCAAAAGCACAACTGTTCCTTCAAAACCAGGTGCTGTTCCCAGCACCCTTTAGTTACAAGCCTCCCTGAAGTGTATTTACAAATTTACTAATAAACAAGTTACAATGTTGCAGTACACCTTTAAGGGCAGAGGGAATTCTAAGTTTAAATGAAGAATTTCTTTTTGTGTGCATATATCGTGGCAGTAAAATGCAGCTCCTGTGAGACTGGGAAGAAGACTAGAAGTTGCCCATCCCTGCATTATTAGGACTATTCAAACACACCAAATGTGAGGATAGATGAAAAAAGAATAGATTTGTAGATCTTAACATTCTTGCTTTATATATCACTGTTCTGGTGTGCTGGCTCTTCTTTGGTGAGTTCAATGCAATGGAGTTATAAGTAGCTATTTAGAAAATGAGTAAAATCTACTGAGTTTCTACTGATAACACATTTTTAAACACATCAGTTACTATATTGGTACACTGCAACTGTTGCCTTTGTTCACTACATTTCACAGGCTATCACGTTGCCCATGAGCATGAAGGGTTTCCAAATGAAGACCCAAATATTTTTTTTTTGTTCTTTGTGGTTGCAATTCAGTAAAGCTATACAGGCATACAAGAGCCAGAGATTTCTTTCATGCTTCCCTTGCAGTTGAGGAGGACTACTGAGGAGGCAAGTTACTTTTTCAAATTTAACCTCTTCACTGTGGGGTAGGAAGTTCTACCATTTTAGAAATTTTGTTGCAGTTTTTGGGAGCCCACACAATCAGACTGGTACTGCCCTGGTACAACCCTGGATGCCAATTTGACAACCACTGGACTAGACCATAGTTGTAGTTTTCAGAGTGGTAGCTGCATTAGTCTGTGGAAGCACATCAACATGAAACACAAAGCAAAAACAAAAATAAAGAAGGCAAAGACACCTTAAAGACAAACTGCCATATGTTAGCGTGAGTTTTTGTGGAAAATTCCTCTTCTTCAGAAATAAGAGTGGGAATGAAAGGCAAAACATTTGGACAGGGCTCTAAGATAAAGAGACAGTGGTTGCTGGTGGATGCAAGTTTTATTTCACATCTAATAATGATTTAAGACTCTTGTTTGGTACTTAGCTCTTTTCTTTCAAAACTTTGTAGAGCCCTGTATGAATGTAGTCTCTAGTATTCTTGCTCTTATGTCAGAAGAAGTCAACTTCTTTCACAAAAGTGGACTTGCTTCATATGAAAATATAGCTGTCAGTTTTTAATGTGCCACAATGTTGTTGTTGTTCTTTCTTTCTTTCTTTCTTTCTTTCTTTCTTTCTTTCTTTCTTTCTTTCTTTCTTTCTTTCTTTGTGTTTCTTGTTGATGTGCTAAATCACTGATTTCCACATTTTGTTCTGAGGAACCATCAGAAGCTTATAATGGGTTTGGGATTAGATGTTTAAAAAAGAGACAGAGACAGGCAGGTGAATATCACCTCACAGGTCTTGTTCCAGCCACACTGTCCCACTGCATTGCCCCAGGATCATTGATAATCTGCCACAGGGTAAGGATCTCTCAAAAGCAAAAAAGGATATGGCCAGTTGAGTGCTGTATCTGAGCCTGTTCCATTCAGAAATCTCCCACTATCAACAGGAACTTCCATCACCCTCTATTCTTCCTTGAATTCTTCTTCTTTTGTTCTCTGTAAGCCTACTAACATCCAATGTTGGATGTAGGCCTTGCCTTTTTGCTTCCACAAATTTCTGTTTTCTATTCTAATTCATGCCTGTCCTACTGAGCTTTTAATATTCATCCATGTAGTTTGCCCTGCAGTTAATCATCATAAAATTTTCACTTAGTAAAGAGACTCTATTAAAATGATGCTGAAATGAACTTAGAAATGTATGCATGCCTTACTTTCTTATGTGCTGTTTTGCTGCAGGGACTCCCGCCATGTCCTCATTCAGTAGATACTTCTTAGCTCCTAAATAATAATTTTCAATATATTCTGACCAATGCAGTGGCCGGACATCAAAGCAGAATAACTGGAATCATAAAAAAAGAAAAAAGGAACAATTTCACAGATAGACCACAGATGAAATGGAGGAAGGGTTTAGAATGGAGAAGAGAAAAAATGAGCAACCCAAATCCAGTGGGTTAATTTGAATTGATCTTCATTCTGCTCCAGGGTTTTATCCAATGAGAAAAAACTTTACTGTTTCATTCTTGACTTATGCTACTGAAAAGGACTGCTTCCTTGAATTTAATACTCATATTTTTGTTTGTGCACTACAGGCTTACAAAGATACATATTGCAAGAATATAATTAACTTCCCCTGAAAGTAGGTTTGGGCAGTGCCGAGGGTTTAATTTCCCCCCACTCCCCAGACCTTTGAGGGCCTCACCTGCTCCCTTTATTCAAAATCTGTTTTGAACAAAAGTCTATTTGGGGCTTTTAAAATATGAGGGCTGGAATAATAGCCTTAAATGGTCTGCTGTGTCTCTTGTTGGTTTCAAGAGACATGGCTATCCATTTTAGGTTATAATTTCGCTTCAGCAATGATTGGGAGGATTTGGATCAGACGGAATATAGGAGGTCTTGGCAGACCCCACCAGGCCCTTTGTCCATACAATTCTCCATCCCGCCTTAAAGACTGTTCTAAGCCAGGTATGGAAGTATTGCAGGGCTGTTAAGCTTTTAAAACAGGCTGATCCAACTGATGACCTACTAGACCAAAGGCAGAGACCAATCAATTGACAGGCTGATCCAACTGATGACCTACTAGATTAAAGGCAGAGACCAATCAATTGTTGTTCACTAAATGCTCAAATGAATAGGAAGACTTGCCTTGGGAAGGTCAGTCGGCCCTCTGTGGGATGTACTACACACTTTTATATATCTCAAAGCTGAGGTGGCCTTGGTTCCATCATGGCTGGATATTAATTCAGGTCTTTTGTTCCCTCATTAAAGCTTTGTTTTAAACTATTTCAGCTTAACTGAATGACCTGCTGAGTAAGTACCCTCAAAAGTCTGCTAAGATTAATGAGACACGATATGGAAGATTTAAGCCTTTTCAAAAGTTAAAAACTGTATAGCAGAAGTGATCAAAGAATTGTTTGAAAGCTTTTGGTCTATTTCCTCCTACTGATTGAAAACTGTTTGGAATTCTGGAGTGAAGTTTGGTGATCTTAAAGACTTTTTAAGTAAGTAGGCATCCTTCAGTCTCGAGAGACTATGGTATCGTGCCCTGTATGGAGGACTTGGAACAGCGTCTAGTGTGGCTGAGAAGGCCAATTCGAGAGTGACAATCTCTTCCACACTGATTTTAAAGACTAAAAGAGGAAATACAAAGAACTAAATGAGGAATTGAAGTACTTACAGAAATGCGACCTTGAGACTGGGAAAGTTCTGGTTTTTTGGAGGTGGGAATTACTTGTGGGGAATTGCTGTTAATAGCAGAGCTGGCTTCTCCCTCTGTCCGAGGTCTGATATATGTTGGCCAAACTTGAACTGAGCCAGGTCTTATGATCAGAGAGCTCCCTCTGCTGGGGTCTTTTATATGTGATAGGTTATATATTTTACAATCTCCACTAAAGAACCAAGTGTGTTTGAACTTGATAATATTGGAGCTGTATGTATGCCTTGAAGAGAAGCAAAGTTCAGTAATTGTGCAGATATACAATGGGCTAGAGGTAAATCCAGCAGTAGAAACCTGTCCAGAGACTAGACAAGGATCCTTGGACAACAAGGATCTCAAGAAGTGCACAGAACGCAAGGGAGAGAGACAGTGAAAGAGTTGTCAAAAGACGATAAATTATCAGAACAGATAAAGGACTTCAAAGACCTTATGGTGTCCAGTGTAAACAACTTAAGACAGAGAATGGAAAATTTAAAGGGAGAAATGGCAGAGCTAAAGAAAAGGACTCCCCTTTCCTCAATATTATTTGAACTGGTGATAGAATTGCTGGTGAATATTATTAAGGGAGATAATACATGGTATTGGTAAAAAAGATAAATTTAAGATTAATATACATAACAATGATACATTGTTAACAATAGAGGACCCATTGAAGGCTAGATATTGTGTAAAATTACATTTGGAAGAATTTGGGCAAATAATTGGACTACATATACACGTATACATTGGAATATATCAGAAATTATGTTGCTTGATTGTAATAAGGAGTAGAAAGCAATAAGGAAAAATCTGATATTAAATTAACACAAAGTATTTAAATACATAGGAATAAATCTTACTAAAATTTACAAGTTCTATTTTTTTATAAATTGACACTATAAATTGAAAATAATCTAAATTAATATACAAAGATCAGATTATCCTGGTTTGGTAGAATTATGCTCTGCAAAATGAAAATTCTAGCAAAGATTGACTTTTTATTTGAATGTTCACAATATTGATAAGGGATATAGAAATAAAGGAATTGCAAAATTTGATTGGTAAATTTTGTAATGGTGATAAAAGAGTCAGGATAAATAAAAAGTTATGGTATCAAACTGAAAGGGAGGGAAGGACAGGTCTTCCGAATATACAATTTTATTATTTAGCTAAACAAATGAGGTTTATTCCAGATATTCTATTTTTCCTAGATAATGTATTATGATTTAATTTGCAAATTCAAGAATTAGAGGGAAATATAGATAATATTATTTTTTTAGGAAAAATAACAAGAGTAGGCTGAAAGAGATAGAAAATCCCTTTTTGAAAAATATGTTGCAAAAATGTTGTCACATATCCTTGTCCCTTAATATATGGGTTCCTGTTTTGGGCCTTAGTCAGCTTGGGAACAGGGACTGATTGCACCCTGAAGGATTTTCAGATTGACAAAAAACAGTTTGCCAAAAGAACTGGAAATTAAAAAAAACCCCACACATTTATCTGATTTCTTCAGCTCAAAACCCCCTAGAGTCCAGCCCCCCCCCCCATGTATAGAGGGCCATGATGAGTAGCTCCTTTATTGGTATATGATTTAGATGCATGGTATAAGGTGGTTCTCCACCCAGATTATGGAAACAACTATCTCTGGGCATCCCCTGTTAACATTTTAAAAACTTTTAAAAACCTAGTTGTTTAGACAAGCATTTCTATCAAAGGAAACCTATAGAAATTATCAGACTTAAGGCAACTGTACCTTCATTTTAAATATCTAATGTTTTAATGTGTTTCTGTTTTAAGTGTAGTTATATTTTATGATGTTTTCTATATGTTTTGTGCGCATATATTATGCTTATACTAATGTTTTCTGCTGGATTGTGTTGTGAAGTGTCCAGAGTAGCTTGACTAGATGGGTGCTATACAAAACACGCAAGCAAGCAAGCAAAAAATCATGGATTTTTTCATAAGGGCAGTGTTCCTCGTTAGCTGAAGGTCTCTCCTTCAGACTCATGGCTGTCTCTGTGTAGGAGGAGGATGGATTGCATCAATGCGTGCAAGTAATGTCCCAGTAGGTTTTCAACCTCAATTATCAGATTCCAAAGTCAGGCTGAAATTCCACTTTATCCCTGAGGAATCAGCTCTTGCTCAATTTTGAAAATAATAATAATGATCTAGATTTCTATGTGTAATCATGGCCTTGAAATGCTATGCCTCCTACATAAATGGCTGGGTCGGCTATCTGAATCATTGGCAATAGAATCATCTTCATTCCATGATGCACTACACAGCATTAGTACAAGAAGTAGTGCCAAGCATGGAAGCATAAGACATCACTTCAGGCCAGACAGTCAACACAAAGTCACAGCTGTGATGGGCACAAAAGCTATTGCAATCATTGGACACCAAACGTTTGATCTGCTGGTGCTAATGCCAATTTGTTTCTTATTATTTATAATGCTAGCCTGTCCTGCCATTAACCGATGGGCAACAGAGCATTCCTATAGCATTTGAGCATAAAATCCAAGTCAAAATGGCCTGAAATGTTCCCCACCTCCACCAGGCTTCGTATCTTATTTCTTCTGCAACCATGAATATTACCAGAAGATTTAACTCCTAAGCAATGGAAACACGGCTCTGCCCTTGTAATTCTGGGGCCCTTGAGGCCCTGGCACATATGCTTCTTTATTGCGTAGCATACAATGATATCCGTGCATCTAATTTGGAGCGAATTCTTTCTAGTTTACCTGGTTGATCAGAGGAGGCAATTCTGTACACTCTCCTGCTAGGAGAGAACAAAATCTAGACGAGTACCAGGCAGATGGCCAATTATATCAATCTATTAACACAGCGACACAGGTCACAATTTCCAACAAACTTCTTGTTCTGCCCTAATGGGATGTAATCAACGGCTTCCAGGTTTGCCAAAGCCTCGCAGCTGATGTCTAGATGTTCTTTCAAATGAATTATGTTTGTTTTGATATGTTTCATTAGTATTTATGCCACTCATCCTCTTTGTTTCTTTTCTAACTGGGCATGCGCCTAGAGTGGTCATATCGACTGGATAGGTGGGATATGAATGAATGAATGAATGAATGAATGAATGAATGAATGAATGAATAAAAACTTCTCATCTGGGTGAGGACTGTTGCCTGTTGTGTTATACTGTATGTTTCTTTTCAGATGCCAATAAAGGTTATTGACTGAATGCTACCAGAAAATACTTACTTTCTTATCTTTTGGACTGAGCTGATTCAATAACATGTTGATATTATCTGAACTCCATTCCCAGGTGCAGCTGGAAAAATATTCAAAGGTTGTCATAGACTTATGCAAGCGGTTCAAGAGCTTCATCATCCTAAAAGACAGAATGGAAAAAATCTGTAATGGACAGGACTATCAAAAGTGATCCATAATCATGTATTTGCTTTAGACACATGTACATTTTTCAGACCTCTGAAGGGAATACTGTCTCCAGATCCAAGTCCAGTCTGGTGGCATTTTAACGTTGTGTTTGGATTTATTTTTTTAAAAAAGCACTGCTATCAGAAGTAAAGAACATATGAAAGGTTTGCTGGTTCAGGCACAGCAAATCCAGCATTCTGTTCACATAGTGGTCAGCCAGGAAGATCACATGACTGGCATTCTTCTGGTAATGCTCCTTAATATATTCACTCTGAGACTGGAAAAAATAAATAGCCATAATGACAAGTGACCATTATCCTCTATAAACTTTTCTAATCCCCCTTTAAATTGGTGGGCATTGCTACATCTTCCTGCAGCAAATGGCACAGTTTAACTAGGTACTTTATTGAGAAGCCTTTTTGGAATTTACCACGTCATTTCTTTTTGGTTGAATTGCCTTTGGTTCCATAGATCCCAGGAAGAAAGGAATGGCATCACCTGCAGTTTCTGGGGTTAGTTTGGTCTGGTGTGTGATTTTTCATCAAATGCAATTTATTTATACACTCTTGCTAAATTAGGTGAAGTAACTGCTATCAACTTTCTTCACTGTCCAGCTGTCATACCCATACACAGGATCAACTTTCTTCACTGTTCAGCTTTCATACCCATACACAGGGACTGGGAACACAAGAGTGTGTATGATCTTGGTCTTGATCTCCAGTGAAACCCTTACACTTGATCATCTGTTCTGATCCCTTCATTGCTGACCTTCTGATTCTCAGTCTTCTGATTTCCTCACTGAAGTCTTCATTTGGATTGATGATTGAACCAAAGTATACAAAATCTTTTAACAATTACAATTTCTTCATTGTCAATGTTAAAATTTTGTAGTTCTCCTGTGGCCATAATTCTGGCCTTCTTAATGTTCAACTGCAGTGTGATTCTAGCACTTCCTTCTTTTACTTCACTAAAAGTTGTTTCAAGTTTTTGTTCAAGTAAGTTGTCTACTCTGATATCTGACAAAGATCTCACCTTCCCTCTTTTCCAAAGCAACTAGAGATTCAAAACTCCCACAATCTTCTTCAAGAAAGCCAAGTAAGACCCCTGAAGAAAGTAACCTCTGCAGCTATCTTTGGAAGATCACACTAAGTGGCTTCAAACCCTCTGCTTTTTTCTAGGTAAAATACAGTGATGCCTCACTTAACGGCGATAATCCGTTCCAGGAAAATTGCCATTAAGTGAAAACATCATAAAGCGAAAATAAAAAGCCCACTGAAATGCACTAAAAACCTTTCAATGCGTTCCAATGGGCTTAAAACTCACCGTCCAGCGAAGATCCTCCATACAGCGGCCATTTTCGCTGCCTGTATAGTGAGGAATCCGTCCCTAAACACAGCGGGGAGCCATTTTATTTACCCGGTGGCCATTTTGAAACCGCCAATCAGCTGTTTAAAAAACGTCGTTTTGCGAAGAATCGGTTCCCGAAGCAGGGAACCAATCATCGCAAAGCGAAATTCCCCCATTTAGATCATCGTTTTGCGATCGCAATTGCAATCGCAAAAAGATTGTCGTAATGCGGATTCGTCATAATGCGGGGCAATCGTAAAGTGAGGCACCACTGTATTAGTTCTATTCTGCAACAAACTCCTTTTTTTAAAAAAATCTTGGAGCTCTGAACTCTTCTTACTTATATTCATATCTATTGAGAACATCTTTAGGTTCATGTATCTGGAGAGGACACATGGTAATAAATAACAAATCATCAGAACAGCCCTTAGAACAAGACTGATTGCCCCACATATGTATAAAGCTGCTCTCTATAGTAGTTGCCAGTATAATAATATAGCAGTGACGTCTTCCCTCACCTTGGTTTCCTTCCGGTTAACCGCAAATACAAATCATAGAGAAAGGCTGGGATGTTATGACTGACAACTGTCCTAAACTGGTGTTTCAAGTAGCTTGAGGTCAAGTGACCACCAGGTATTCTGAAGGCTTTCTCCAGAGGATTCCTCTTGAATGCAGCTAAGATATGATATTCTGCATGATAACAGCAAACAAATGTTTATATCAAAAGTTGAACTGAAAATGTACTTGCAGAAGCATATAAATATTTCAATTTGTTTATCATTAGCAGCTTACGTTAGACTTGAAAGTTGACTATGGCTCAAAAGAAATAAGTTCCCCATTCTCTTAGTGTGTTTAAAAAACTTACATGACCACACTGGACAGATCAATGCCGCATCCTATTATCCAGTACATAGAAGCCATTACAGCTTGTTCAACATTTCAATGCATGGCATACAGACAACAACTTCGTATGGATTTTAAAGACATTTAGAACCTTTTATAGAATTCATAAGCTCTTCCTCATTACAATAATATCTTGCATGGCACTGCCTGTTTAGCATTGATTTGCTATACATGTGCTTGGATGGTCATTTGTGGTGGTCAACAAGGTGTCAGTCCATTTGCTTCACAGTGGTGTTCCCTGGTTCTGTTCCTTATTCTCATCCCTGCCCCACCCTCCACTAGACCAGGCCTCTGGAACTCCTGGTGGCATTACAGTACATCAGGGGTCTCCAAACTTTTCAGCATGAGGGCCACATCACATGTTTTACAGATTTTTGAGGGCCGAAGATACACAGTGCACGTACGGACAGGCTGAAGGGAAACGACCTGATAAAAAAACAAGGCGGGCAAGAGACCCCTGCATTACATCATCATTGTTCCTTGATGCACTCTCCATCGCTTTCTATTTCACAACTTTGTTCCCAAATCACCAACAAAAACACACTTGGTTTAATGTTCAGCTGTTCTTCTCCCTCTCCTGCACACTTAATGCTCATCTGTGTTGATTTTTTCATCTCTGCCATAATGCAGGCACCCATTCAGAGGCAGTGCCTAGAGGAGGTGGGGCAGGGAAGCCAGGACCCTGCCTCTACATTGGTGCCCACTGGAAGGGGTGGGACACCAAACCACCAAACACCTCTTGAGGTGGTAAAGAAACCAGGACAAACCGCTGAATCAGCAATTCCTGCCCATCTCTAATCTTGAGCACTAAGCAGGGTATTAATGTATTGTATTTTTATTGTGCTATGTTTTTTTTCAGTTGCCTTAGTTTTTTTTATTTATGCCAAACATTCATGTAAATACATAACTAAATAAAAGAAAGAAAAGAGGGTGGGAAAAAGTACATCTGGAAAATATATGCATCAGTCTTTAGCATTTTCAGGTTTTGGTGTACAATTGCTGGAACATAACGAATTAAGACATTATACTGGAGAAGTGAATTTTGAGAAGAGGATAATGAAAGAAAAAGCCAAAAATAAAAATGAGGCTGCCCTGAGAAAATGAAACATCCTTCTCAGTACTGTATACATATAGAGGACTCCAGCTTAAAGTACTGTAAACACTGTTGGAGACCTCCTATGAATGGCAGAATGGAAGAAAAGTGGACAACCAGTTAAAATAAGACAAATACGTTATACTAGCATGGTTTTAAATCTGTCAGTCTCAGCTTGTGCACTGGCCATAATCTTATTACTTGCATCTTATTACTTGATATGAGTCAAATTATGTAAATTGCAGTGGCAAACTGCTACTAGTTAAGAATTCAATGCTTGTATTCCTTGTCACACAGTAGTCATGTGATATTATATGCAACAAGGAATATATCTTGACTTCTTAACTAGCAGCAAGTTGCTGCTACTGTTTACATTGTCTTATACCAGTGCTCATAAGCAATAGGATTCTGGCACTGAATCATTGGATTAAATGGTGAGGTTGGATTAAATGGCGAAGTGGCTCTTATGAAAATCCCATTGATTCAGTAGGCCTATTTTAGTTGAAACTAAAAGCAAGATCATTAATCCATTTTTTTACTATGAAAAATAAGACTGAAGATTATAGTCTTCAGAGTTCTGAGTATGTGTCATGTTGTGATTGTACAGTTATTTCATTGTGATTATTTATTTATTTATTTGATAAATAAAATAAATAAATACAATCATTTCATTGTGATTAAATATTACTAAACATTTAAAAAAAATAAGATCAAAGCAGTCAAATCTTGACAAGAGCTCTAGAATTAGGTAAAGATAAAGTTTCCCCTTGACATTTAGTCCAGTCTTGTCTGGCTCTAGGGCACAGTGCTCATCATGATCTCCAACCTGCAGAGCCAACGTTTGTCCATAGACAGTTTCCATGGTCATGTGGCCAGCGCGACTAGACACGGAATGTCATTACCTTCCCACTGAGGTGGTACCTATTTATCTACTTGCATTTTTACATGCTTTTGAACTGCTAGGTTGTCAGGAGCTGGGACAAGCGACAGGAGCTCACTCCATCGTGTGGATTCGATCTTATGACTGCTGTTCTTCTGACCTTGCAGCACAGAGGCTTCTGTGGTTTAACCCGCAGCAGCACCATGTCCCTTAGAATTCTAGACTCTAGAATTACTGGATATCAAAGGGAATCAGATATATCAGCAGGGCCAAAAAAATTTCATTAGGATAAACTTGTAAGTAAATTCAGTATAATTACTAGTTTATACATTTTTACTACCTTGCCCCACCTACACTTGTCTGTTTTAAACATTTTGGGCTAAAAGAGAGAAAAAGTACTATTGCATTTTGAAATGCTTATTCTCTTAGTTGTCTGGGGCAAGTGACTCAGTATTTTTTAGTATCTCCATGACTGACTATTTACTGTGGATATTTGGACTCCACCGGCTCCCCTACAATCAATTTTCTTTTTAATGGTCCAGTAAAGTTCTTTAAAACTCCCACACACATCTCAAAGAGCTTTTGTTTTTGTTTTGTTTTGTTTTGTTTTTTGTTTTGTTTTTGTTAAGTCCTTGGTCTGAATACTTGAAAAGCTGATGCCATGAGCAATCCGAGAACGTAATAAACTGCCTTAAGAGGTGGTGGCTTCTTCTTCTCTGGAGGTTTTTATATAGTGGCTAGATGATCCTCTAATTTGCAGCAGGCTTGTTCTTCTGCTGCCTTTCTGCACCAGCAATTTAAGCCTTAACTATTATATGCTTCTTAGCATATTTGTACACAGATCTAGCATCCATAAAGGTGAAGAGAAATGTAAAAAACTTGTTATTCTGAACTGTCAAATCGCATCTGACTTAGGATGACCAGAACAGGGTTTTTCAGCTATATGAGATATTTAAGGAGTGGTTTTACCACCGCCATTCCCGGCAAATTTCCACAGCCAAATGAGCATTTGAACCCAGCACTCCTAAGTCCTACTCTGTCACTTTATCTGCTACATCATACTGACTCCAAGTTTTAAAATACTACATTAAAAAATATGTCTGTACAGCAGATAGAGATGCACTATTGTTGAATTCTATCAGTATGGAATCTTATCTTATGCCATATGATCCCTATAGAAAAATGCAAGACATCAAGAGACATTGGAAATCTTGAACTGTGGACCAGGCAGTCTTGGTGTTCGTATTGTGGTAAAAACTTACCCATCTCTCCCCAGCGATATGGATTCATACTGCCTGTTGTACAGTTGTACACCAACATTGACTTTGGTCTGGGAAATTAGGAAGAAAAGCAAAATGCCATATGAAAGGAATAGAAAATATTAAATATAGCATTTTTTGTTTACATTGGCAATTTCAGCACTTCCTGAACTTCTACTGAGACATACTTCTTTTAAAATTGAAACTGGAAGAACATTTCATTTTAAAACCCCGAACATTACTTTTAGGGAACCCATGTGTTTCTCTATACATCATTTATTTGGATATTAAGAAAATCAGAAGTTGTTGGGGTTTTTTAAAAAAAGAAAACTGTTCTGCTCCTTTGAGAAATGCAAATAAATTTTGTAAGTCTCTGTTTGAATAATTAACAGCTTTCATTGGCAATTTTATGATATGACAAGCCCTTGGCCACTTCTGAGAAACAGTATCACACAGGACCCATCCAGACATGTTTTGTGGCTTGGAACGTTGGTCCTTTTCACCCACAGATGTGGATTTGCTCACTCTAAGCTTCCATACCGGTAGTCTGTTTTCCTCCAGTGTAATCCAGGTACTTCCAAATTGACTTTCCACACCATAACACTTCTTCTCCTCCTCCTCCCTTCCTGCTCATGTCCTCCCCATTCTCCACCCTGTTTCCAGTGATGTTGCCTGTTTTGCAATAAGATCCATTTTGGAGAGACTTAGCATGCTGCCTAAACAAAAACAAACAAACAAACAAAATCCTTCCCCCATATCGTTGTGGCTGAAGTTGAAAAGCAAGCTGTGCATACAGTGGTGCCTCGACTTACGAATGTCCCTACTTACGACCATTTTGAGTTATGACTCGCTCCAGCTCCAAAATTTTGCTTCGACTTGCAGCCAGAGCTTCCAGTTACGAACAGAAAAAGGCATGGGAAAAAGGTGGGAAATTCAAATTGCTAACTGTAGGTGGCAAAGAGGCTGCTTCTTTGTAGTTCTTTCGCCCCCGCAGTTAGAGAGTGTGCGATCGGAAGAGGCTTCGGACTGCCTGGTAAGGTAAAGTGCTGCTTTCTGCTTTTTAAAAACTGTTCTGGGTGAGGTTTGCAGTGTGGTTTTGGGCTGGGGGGGATGTTTCTGTGCTTTGTTGTTGTTTTGTTTTTTGGTGATTTTTTTTGCAGCCCCAGCACTTTGCAATGGGGCTTGCTCCTTTGTTTATTTATGGTTGGTTTGTTTGTTTAAAGCCCCAGCGCCTTTGGGGCTTGCTTTGTTGTTTATTTTTGGTTTTGGGTTTTTTGCAGCCCCAGCGCCTTGCAACGGGGCTTGCTCCTTTGTTTATTTTTGGGCTTTTTTTTGCACCCCCAGCACATAGGCCATAGGGTAAGGATGTTCCGTTTGTCCTGACCTTTTCCTACGCTGTCTCATGATATTTATCTGAACTAGAGGGACTCCTGTGTTTACCTCTATGGAAGTGAACAGAGGGAGAGTTGATGAGAGAACTTGTCCATTACTTCTGTTGATTCAATAAGCCTACTGTATTTCTGATTTACTGTGCTAATCAACAGGGTTTGTTTGAGGGTTTTTTTTAAAAAAAAATAAACTAAAAATGCCCCTTTACACCATCTAGCGGCTAAAGCGAGCAATTTCATTATTTTGGGGACTGTTGGTAATTGGTTCTTAAACAGCTTCAAGCTTTGAAAAATATCTCCTTCCAGGCTAAAAGAGCTGACAATAGCCCAAAACATAGTAAAATGGCCTCCTGTGCTCCCAGAGGAGGCAAGGGGATTTCAGAGCAACCCCCTTTTTTCCTTAAATAATAATAATTAAGGAATTAGGGTGCAAATAGACTGCAGGAGGCCTGAAAGATATCTGAGGAGTTGGCAAGGAATTCTGGTGACAAGCTTTACTTGTTTGAGTGACAGTGAACATCACAGTTAACAGAGCCGATTAGAGAATGTCTGCTGTATATGATTCCTTGCTCCCATCAGGCCAATTTTCAGTCTGTTTCCACTGGGCATAGCTAATGCATCCATGACTGCCCGCTGTCTCTCTTCATGGCTCTGGGCCTCCTTCCTTCCAGGCAAAGAGAACATCCAGACCTATGGAGAAACACAGCAGGTGGCCTCCACTGAGAGCAGGCTCAATGAGCCACAAGGAACCACCTTTGGTGTAGCAGGGAAGCATGCTTCCAACTATATTTTAGAAAGGGGAGTGATCAAAATTCAGCAAACACTTCCTTCCATCCTGGGATATGTTGCAACCTATTCAGCTTCTGCTATGTAAGTAGAAGTACAAAAAATTATCCCAGTTTAGCAAAGTATATCTTGATAAGAAAGTACAGAAAACAACGTGCAGTCGTACCTGTGAACTGCAGTGTACCATCCAGCAGCAAGGCTTAAATTGATAGCCACATCTACAGGAACAATATCAGCTACTGCCTCTGTGTTGCATTTTATTGTCCTTAAAATCCCTTTTCCAGCCTGTGGGAAGGAAGGGGAAAAAACTAGTCAGTATATTCAGTGACAGAGTATTACTGCTCACCAAAAATGCAACTGAAGTTGCATATGCAGTACTATATACAGTACAAAATAATAGTAAAGAAAATCCAGAACATACTTCACCTCCCAATGAAGACTTGATTATCACATTGTGCTGACAGCTGAACTACTCTCTGCTTTCTTTGACATTCATTTGATTTCTTTACAAGCTTTCTGAGAGAACACTAGAAATATAGTCTCCCAGGTATACCAGGAGAACAGAGCCAGAAAACCCAGCCGTGGTCTACACTGGTTTACCCAATGGTGGCATGGATTTATTCTTGGCCACATATTCTCTCCTCCAACATCCCATGCCACAAAAATCCTCAACTGGGAAGAGGCAACTGGCCACTTCCAAGTTGTACAGACAGCAGGAGAATTTTCTGGCCTCTCTTTAGTTGGATGCAGAGATGGCAAAAGAATCTCTACCAGCTACTCTTTCTAAGCACTAAGGAAAATGTTCTACTCAGGAAAGTATTAGTAGTTTCAGGGGAGGACACATCCCCATTTTGAGCTGCCTGATGAAGTGGACCCATCCACAAAAGCTCCCATTAAAAACTATAAAAGTTAGTCTTTTAAGATGCCACCATGTTTTTTGTCTTTTTTAACTTTATATATCTATTTTGCTTTTACCTCTAATGCGTGCACAGACTAACACAGCTGCCCCATCTACCACTGTTTTGAGCTGGATCTTAATTTGAGATAGTTTGACCTCAAAGTAAAATGATGGAACAGCACTGGGGATAGACTGGTTGTCTTCATTTTTTTCCAGTTGTCTTAACTTACCTCCATCATGACCGCTGTGCTTCTTGTTTTAAAGTATACAAAACACTTCTACAAAGCATTACTTTCTGGAAAGAGCCAAGTTGAACTGGCCACTAAATAAACGCTGCTGTCCACAGTTAGCAATTAAGTATAACCCTGGAATTTATGGGGTTTATTAAACTCTTGAAACAGGTAATTGCAAGGGCAAACCATCCCCACCCCAATTTCTGGTCTCTTTATTTATTTCTATTAAATATTTTTTTAAAATTGGAGGGTGGGGGGAGGAAAAAGGCAACCATAGCCAGGCTTCCCTTCCCTCTCTTCCAAACTTTTCTCTTCTCCCCAAATGCACTTCCACCAAGGTGGCAAATCTCAAAATTGCCCTAAAGGAGGCCAGGACAAGATATGCCATCCATTGAAGGAATATTGGTTTGGTCAATAGGAATCACAAGTGTTTTGTGGGCAGCTGCCACATGAGATTATTCTTCACTTTTTGAATAGGATCCAATCAGGCTTGCTGCTGTTTTAGAGTAGTGGTTCTTCTCAAGCAACGGTATGTGCGCCACTGGTGAGACGTAGCCACATTCTAGATAGGACACAGAACTCTCAGGACAATGAGTAAAATTTTATTCTTCTTCTGTACCCATGGTTTCCCGTCAAACAGAGGTGGTTTGTCATTATGCTGGGTGAGGAAAAAATAGACTCCCCCCGACCCCTTTGCCATCTTTGTTTACCTTCTACAGACAGCACTCAGTCACTCTAAGCTCAGGAGAACAATTCAAGGCAGCAGAGCCACCATGAGGACTGAGACATAATTCTTGTTTTTAAAACTCTCTAGGGAGAAGAGAAGTAAAAGCTCTTCCTGCATTTTCTTTGTATGCATAATAGGAGGGAAAATGCCAATTATAAACACTCTCTCATTATCCCTTTCTCAGTTATATTAAGCCTTGCCATTCCAATCACAGAGATAGGACAGGAAGTTACTACTGTGTGGCTTTGCAAAGTATTTCACTTCCCTTTCTGGCAAGCACATGGCGGATACCTGTGTTTCACAATGAACAACTGTGAACTAGTTTTTTTCCCCACACTGCTTTTAAACCAACAAAACGTGACATGAGGAACTACTTGAGCTTGCACAGCTTCTGTTCTTGGATGTTTGGTTTGGTCCATGACTAAGCATGGAAGGGGCATGTGATATGGTGCAACAGGAACAACAACTAGAGATGGACCACTGGCTCAGTGGTTTATGCCAGTTTATCTGTTTTATCCGCCCAACAGGTGTTTGGCACCTCCCAGCCCCACCTCCTCCAGCTGATGCCCAATCAGAGGAGGCGGCACCCAGAGGAAGTGAGGCAGGGAAGCTGGGGCTGGGAAGTGCTGAGGACCTCTTCAGCGGATAAACAAACTGGCACGAACCACTGAACAAGCAGTTCCTGCCCATCTCTCATAGCAACAGAGATAAAATAGCATACAGCAGGAAGCTGCATGATAGGTGTCAGCAACTATTCAGCTCACAGTCTTTTTTTGTCCCTCTTTGCCGCTTTTTCAAATGGTGTGCATGGCATTCAGGGCTCCAGCTGATCCAGCTGCCCACAGCCTTCTTCAGCGTGCATTGTGATATTAGGCTACCTGTGAGATTAGTTGCCTTGTATTGGACTGATGAAGGACCCAGAAAAAGCACAAGATCAAGTGATCTAGAGCAGCAGCACCACCACCACCACCAGAAGGTGAAGCTCATGAGCCAAGCTAATGGCAATAGCTTTGCTCGTTTCTTTCTTATTAATTTAATTCTTGTTATCCAAACATGTGACTGACAGAGGATTGGTTGCCATCAGCAGAGGACTCATGAAGGGACAAGGCAACAACTTGAAGATACAGCCCCAAAGCCATCATGAATCTTTTTTTATTTATTTTTTATTTTTTTTAAAAAAGTCACCCTAAGCTTTCACTGCCTCCCAACTCAGGAGCAACCACACTTTTTGTCTCCTGATTTGGGAGTTGCTCCTGAGTTGGGAAAATATATATTTATAACTGGAGACCTTGAGAGGATTATTTATGTTGGAGAATTCCAGACACATTATTTTCCCCTTTATTATTTTCCATTTTCTCTGCTCTCCATAAATAATACCTATAAAGAGGCCCATAAATGTAATTGGAAAAAGTGGGATGAAGATTCTTTAATGCCCTGACTGAGATATAACAGTGTGAAAGCTGAAGAGTGCTGTTTCAGAGAACTACTATTTAGGACTGATATAAGGATGATGGTAAAATTAGCCTGAGCCAGGTCTAGATATGGGTCTAAGGGACTTGAAAAGACCATCTCAAATTGCATCACAAGCCCTAAAATTATTAGCTGCCTGCAATAACAATGCGAGCTGAAAAAAGAATTCCTACTTTTTTTCCTGACCTGCTAAAGCCATTGTCTCTAGCCCTAAAACACACAATCTCCCTTTCCTCCTCTTGAAATTATAGCAGGCAGAGAAGAGCAGAGGGATTTGGGGAGCAGGCAGGGAATACTGCAGCAATAGCTAGCAGTTCATTTATTCATTTATGCAATTTATATAATGCTCCATTAATGTGAGCATGACACTGGGCGGTTTATACAATATTAAAACTCACTAACCCTCAATATCCCAGGACAAGAAAAATCCCATTCCAAAACAATATAGCAATACAACAGATAATAATTCTAACTATAAATGTGAACAACCCTGTAAAAATCTAGAATTGTTAAACAAGAAAAAGAAACCTCACACCCCACTAAGCTCACATTCCAGTATATTTTTCCAGAATGTCCCTCCCCTATGTCTCCTCTCCAAACATCTCTGCTTCTGCTCCTGACACGATGGGCTAAATGAAAGGAGAGGGAAGGTGGGTGTCTGTTCTGGAGCTTGAGTAACCCAAGGTTAAGAACCAGTGGGCTAAATGAAAGGAGAGGGAAGATGGGTGTCTGTTCTGGAACACGTGGATCAGTTGGAAGACAGAACCTCAAAGCTCCATATAACTATTTTCAAACCTTCGACTTCCCCAGAACCCTTCCATAATCCCTTGGCCAACAAACCATTGGATCTAAGATTATAAAGCAAACACCCCCATCACATTTAGCTTTCTTTCCTGATCAGCCTGTGTCCTCATCAGACACCCCTAGGCTCTGCCCTTATCCCACCATTTTGCTTTCACAAGCCATGAGCATTATGGTTGGTGCAGTTTTGGACCTCTTAGCCTGATGAAGAATCCTGGAGAATTCACACTGCCTGATTCTTGTCACCCATTAGTCTGACAGGAGCAATAGTTAGGCTTTGTTGACCTGCATTGCTTCCTCTAAATCTCAAGAACCTATTTGTAACTATACATACCGCTATTAGGAAACCATTGAAGTGGTTGATGTTGTCAATCCAACCCTGAAAGGAAAAACAAGCAAAAGCAAGCTGTTATGATGATGCACAGCTCAGTTTAACATCTGAAATATGCAACTCACTTTCAGGTCTGTGAAACTGGGAACTACTGCAAATTTGCACTGCCTGAGAGTCTCAAGATTACAGGAAAAACGTCTCAGATAAAAATCCACTTTGACTAGTCAAAAATGTTCAGTTTTGGAATCCCTCTTAATATTTGTTGATGTCATTATTGGAGGGGATTATATTTAAAGACACAATTCTAAACAGTGGATGGGATTTTACATGGAGAGTTGCCAAGAAAATTAGTTATGTTCATCTATATAACCCAACTGTATTGTACTCAAGGAAAGTTAGCAACATCTGCGATTGGGCCAAAAGCAAATGTTGGAGGTGTGATGATAAGCTTCGCCTCATGTTCTGGGCTTTTCCAGTTTTATCTTCAGGTGTTTCCCTCTCTGCTAGACTTCAAAATTATGCTAATCACTTATTTAAGCCTCAAAAAATAACCAACTTTGCATTATAAGGGATAAACTGCTAACTGCAAAATTGTAGAAACAAACTAATGCATTCAATCTTCAGTGGATAATGTGAGTTTAAAACGTGCAAACATAATAAAATGAACATTTAATGGAATTTTAAGAAGGATTTACACTAAGATCAAACATCCAGAGCAAATCTGTTAAATCACCTGGGCATGGTAACTAAAACATATTTATAATATATTGCAAAATACAGTGATGCAGTTTCTGTTTTAGAATTTGCTGGCTCACTCTATGGTGCAACATGAGATTAAAAAAAATAAAGACGATCAATTCTGTACTTGTCTAAACGGTATCTTTGCAGCAGCAAATCTGATCAGGCTCTGCATCTGTTTATAGATTCCTGATTACTGTACCTGTAAGATCCATGCGTGTTATATAGCTATCACATTTACATGTTAGGTGTACATAAATCTGAAGTCTGATGAAGGAGAATTTTTAAAGCAAATGCTTTAAAAACACAACATCACTGCCTGATCATGGCTGCAGACCACACCCAGCCAGAACTGGTACTGCCACCATTTTTAAAAGTTTACAAATGGTTTGGAAGAACTCCCATCCCCAGTGTGCACATATATTTCCCTTCCATTGACAATGCTGGTCGAACAGGTTGATAGGATTTTGTAACAATACAAAACCTGCCAAATCTATTTACCTGAGGTGAAACTGAAAGTGGAACCAGTGCGTATCATGACCACAAGCAAAAGGAATCTTATGACACCATAAAAACAATCTAATGGCCACTTAATCACATATATGCATCTGGGGAACTGGGTTACAGTCCACAGAAGATAAGCCAAGTCAAACTTGTGGAAGGTGTGGCAGGATTCTTGTTGACCTTCAGTGGACCAATGTAGTAACTCCTCTGGATATCATGACTAGAAATTCCTTTTATTTTATCTCCATTTCTCTTATCTCTAGTTCTCTTTCTTTTTGAAATTTCCCTGTCCAATTAAAATTGTACCTTTGATTTCAGGAAAAGAGAAGTACTGTTCATTCATTCATTCATTCATTCATTCATTCATTCATTCATTCATTCATTCATTCATTCATTCATTCATAAATAAATAAATAAATAAATAAATAAATAAATAAATAAATAAATAAATAAA